GGGGGGAGGAAATTACAGTCCTACTGAACATGAGATTGGCGCCGCATTGGGCAGGGCGACGAAGTGGTGGGAACCGCCGCCCGATCTATTCACTAACCAAATGTCATGCCCTGTAGTCGGCATTCTTCATGAGCTGAAGGTCAAACGGAACCGCACCCAACATGTCTCCACCTATATTACATCGAATGAGTTCAAAGCGAACTGCCCCGTCGGAAAGAGAGAGAACTGGTTGGTTAGTCCATTCAAGCGTCCTGGTTTAATGTCACAATTTTGAAGGGAAAAGCGATGCTGCCTTTCTGCATTCTTTAAGGAAGTTTTTTGGTTTTAAAATCCCTTGAAGAGCTTAAATCATACATTATTCAAAAGTATTCTCAATGACTTTGGCCTTAAAAGTAACAACGTTTGGCATTCACTCAATCTATCATGCTACCAACACTCTAAAACTGCGGAAAACTAGGTAGTATTGTCCACCACTGAAATGACACTATTCTACGACTGCATTCTGCATGTTAGCTCCAGATAAGAAGGCAATACCGACTTGCTGAGCATAAAAAGACTGCTTAAAAGGCGAACGACCAACCAGAGGTGAAGACACTGCATTTTCTTATAAGATCTTGCCATCAAGCCCAATCATGGGTTTGGTTATTGTAATCTAGGTGTACTAAACAGTTCCCAGAGTAGGGAGAGCGACACACATAGGCATAATCTCTCCACCATGTAAGTGCTTCCTTCCTCACAGGCCTTACTGCAGTGACCTTGGAGCGGCTCGGTTATCACGTCAGGGGTATCACCAAGAAGAGAATCGGCAAATTTGATGCCAATGGATGCTACAGGGGGGCTAAAATCCCTTGTATATACACGAGGGAGTGTGTTTTCTCTGTCAACGACAACAGTGATGAGAGGGATCAAGTGGTATCCATTCTGAGATCTACATTATATTTAGTCGTGAAGTTGATTCAATGAAGTAATTTTTTAATGAGTGTTTCTTTCCACGAAAAGATCACCTTAGCTACACTAGTTATTTCAAGATGAAGTTGATGTCTATGCTGGAGTAGCGAAAGCGAGTGCAAAGTAAAAGTCACCCATCGCAAAATTATCCACCAATTCTCCTCTCTTCCAGCCCCTCCATACGCCATTCCTCCCTCAATGGTGGCAGCAAACCTGCAGTCAGTCACACCTTAGGCAAATCATCTAGGAATGAAGAACTATGCAGCAAAGTTTAACAAGATCTTATCGAAATTTCTGATTAGTCGGGGAGAAATAGGTGCTTTTCAGTGTAGGCAGACTGGCTCAGCTTGCGTCACGCCAGGCAGTCAACACCCCGCACGCCTCTCGACAGGATGTGCACAGCGCTTTCACAGAGCTGTCACCTCCTCTTTGTCTGTACGCTTTGCTGTCTACTGAAAGCGGTCACATCACCCCAAGATTTGGCATAATTAAGACTTCCAACTTACCATTTGTCAACAATAAATGAGGATGATTCATTGTCGCAATGCCTCTTCCTGGAACAGGGGATTTCCCCTATCAAATAACCCACTCGGAGGGCCAAATTTGTAAAAGAAAGTAAGATAAACGGGAATGTTTGCCTTGCAGACACTAAAGAGGAATTGGAAAAGTGAATTAACAACCGCCGTAAGAGGAGTGGCGGTCACAACTTAAGGAATGCCAGGAAGGAGGGAGTATCTCCCCTCCACCGCCTCCTACTTATTTTAAAGTACAATGTTTAAGCACCATGAATTTCTATTGTGTCCTGACTGCCTGACTGACTTTTGTATTCCAGTTTGGTATTCGTAAGGGACAATAAATCTCCCATTGTTTGTTTCCCAGCCCTGCGCTCACTTTACACCCTACCGCACACCTTAAAGTCCACCCTTGGAGAATCAAACGCCTTGCATGGGTGTGACGCACTCTGGACGGTCTTATGCCTTGCCCCATGGACCACACTTGATTGTCACAGTGATGGCTGCGGTAAGTGAATGGAGTACCGAGGGGAAGGGTATGTGGATTCTGGTCTAAACGACTGACCCTGTGTACGCTTTCAACAAGACTGCAAAAGGATTTTGGCCAGACTATCCAGGATAGCCTACTTCCATCCAACATTGGCTTCGCGGTGTCCAGTACACTAACTTTTCTCGATCCCATGACCATCCAGGACTGAGTGTTGCACACTGTCTCCAGGAATGGTAGTGGCGAAACCACGTCTGGTGCGACTATCACTGACAAATGTAAGGCCGTCTGTCTAAAAACCTTGACATTCTCACATTGCCCCAATGGAGCTCTGTACTGCTGCATGGATATGAAAAGGTTCGAATTCCCCACCTTCTTTGGATACACACACTCATGCACCTAGTCACTCACTACCACTGGTACCCGTCCATCATCCTGATGGACTGTCTTGAAGTGACTTAACTAAGCTGGACTAAACATGCCCCAGCACGAAATGTGTGCCCGCTGTTGGGGGTGGTGGTGGCGTACCCTCGTCCCCTTTCAGTTATTATTGTGTAGCATCAGTACCGAAGCAAACCCTCTAAAACGCCTTTTGAGTTAAAACGTAGCTAAAATTTCTGTGTTTGAACTCACTAAAACCTTCCTCTAAGTCAATGATCGATTCGCCCGTTCACCTGAAGTAAGTTGTCAGAAGCATTAGCATCGACTACAGGCCAGGATATATATATATATATATATATATATATATATATATATATATA